TACGAAAGCTGCGCCCCCTGCCTTGCTGCAGCCAAAACTGGGCACGCTCGAGGAGCAACAGCTGAGCCTGCAAGATCGCTTGTGAAGCCAAGTATTATCGCTGCGGGCAAGGCTTTGGTGCAGGGAACTTTCAAGCGCCCGACCGGGCAGGTTGTTATCAGTGGTCGCAGATTGATGCCTCTTGATCCAATGCAGCTGAATCTTACGTCCCTGTGCTGGTTTATGCAGTTACAACCACAAATGTCAGGGTTCGCAAAATGTTGGACAGTTGGATCCCTCTGGACACTGCTTGAGGAATTCCGACCACTCTAGCGGCGTCGCAGCGGTGGCTTGTAACGGGCTGGCATTCGCACAGCAAATGCTTGAGGGTGGGATTTCTGCTGCACAGCTGACACGTCAAAAGCAGAACTAGGGAGGCTACCTCAAAAACTGCGATCATGAGCAACGCAAAAATCAAGGCCATGGCCCGGCCCGGCCCCACCTTGATGTTTGCAAACCTAGCTTCTAAAATCCATTTCCTGTCTATCGAAAACTGTCTGTTCAAGTTTGACAGCCAGCAAAGGATCCCCCAGGTCGAGTTTGAAATGCCCTCCACCTCTTTGCCAAGTGAGCTCAGGCGATGAGAACCCTGCATCCTTTAGCCTGCACATGATACTGTAGCCATCGTTGGGCCCCTAGTGCTCTCCTGCACTCCAGGCGTTTTTGTTTGTTTCATGATTGGATGTTTGGGATCATACTGGGCTTCCATGCGCAACCGCAAGGCTGTGGTTAAGCACTTAAACTACTGCCGAAATTATGAAGCAGAGTTGAAGCAGCAACGACCTGGACCGTGAAACTGTGGAGTCGACTTTTGCTTATTCCTTGTGTACGTCAGTCGGGCAAGTATTGCTGCGAATGAGCGCAATTTGCTTGCCCCTGGGCAGATCGCGCAACTTGATAGCTTTTCTGAGCCCTTTTCTAAGTTTGTTTTTCTGCACGCTGGTCCTGCGGAAGCATTCCAAAGTGCAGTCAACGCCTAAATCTTTTATGCAGCTCGTAAGCGCTGGGAACTCCTTCCGTCGGTATGGTGGTTCCTGCAACACCGTATGAAAAGCATGCTTTGCCTTCTTGCTGGAGACCAAGAATCCTGATTTGTCCATACTGATGCTCATGTTTCTGAAGAAATGTATGTCGAAGATCCGCGAATAACCGCAAAGAACTTCTAGCCAGGGCGATCGCCTCACTACCTTGCAGATCAAAAAAGATGTCGTCCACAAATGTCGATGTTTGCGCTGGTGCGTTGTTGCGCAAGGCTTGCGCAACTGCTGTCGAAGATACAACTTGCAGAAGGAAATGCACAAAGGACAGCCTGCCAGGGTGCTTCGCTCCGGTTCCAGTGGCTCGCTGGCCATTGACTAAGCTACTAAGATGCGGTGCCCACTGTGCACCGGCAGTGCCATTATCATCAACAAGGCTGGGTACTGAAATTCAACAGCATCGTGTATCAGCTGTTAGCGGTCTATGCGATCATACGCATTCTCAAGATCTATGAGCAAGCTGACCTAGTGTGCTGGTGCACAACGCACCTTGCCAAGAGCTGCCTCCTTTGGCTGGTTGTGAAAGTGTCGCACCCTTTCACTGCCATATCACAGGGACTTTTGGGATCCCTCCTCCAGCCACTTGCGGATGATTAGCAAATTATGGTGCTTGTCAAAGGGATAGGCCTTTCCGTCTTCATGCAATTGGCCAGTGCCACCAAGACATGACAAACTGACGCTGGCCACTGCAGAGTCTCTTCCGCCGGTCGCAGTAGGAACACTAGTCCTGATCTTGCCTCATTCGGGAGGCTCTTGAGATCCGCAATGGACCATCCATCCATCCGGGCCACTGGCTGTATGCCGCGTTTTAGCATCCCCCTGACCTGTGCTGAGGAGACTGGCTTCAGCTGGTTTTGTTGCTGATGCGCTTTGCTCGCCGGTCCCTGCAACAACTCTTTTTGCCTCTCTCTGCTTTCATCGGCTTGCTCTCCCCACAGTCTCTTCCAAGAACTGCGCCTGCAATCTGGCCTTTGCTCGAGCGGCTCTTATTGAAAAGTTGCAACAACGTGCTTGGGACCTTCATGAGGTAAGCATGTATTTCCTTCAGCGTCTGCTTGCTGTTTTGGAAATGCCTTTTGAAAGTAGCGTTCCTTTGGCATACTGTTGTTTCAGTCGTTGCCGGGTTGTCAGTCCAACAGCATCTCGTCAACAAAAACGCCGGGTGGGAAGCACAGGCCGGCCAGAACCTGCCTTGTGTGCACCACACCAACTCGCAGGGATGACAGTGCAGACCACATCACACACAGTTCCAGCCGCCAGCCAGGACGGTTGCAAACCAAATTCTTCAGAAGCTACAGCCATACCTCGACCGCAACAAGCCTTGTCAAGGTCTACGTCTACGTAAACACAAGCGCCGCCTCCTACGGCAGGTTGATGGACCACCTACGCAAGACCTACCCAGGCCGGAGTCACGCTGATGGCGAAACTGCTTCTCCGAAGGCCGCATTGGCCGCATTTCGGCTTACTCTCTGGTGCTCCAAGGACCCCCATGATAGACAAACGAACAACTCTCGCTCTACCTTTTGATGCTCGGCTGTGAAATTTGAAGCTGTGATCCCTGAATGGTGCACCGCACCAGGGACCGCTGCACCACTGAAAAAGCGTTTCTGCCCAGAATTCAAAAGGTGGCGCGTATCGCTGAAAGTTTCACCTACTTGCAGGCCTCGGTTGGAGCAAGTAATAGTGAGAATTGGGGAGCGTACTGCAAAAGAATGTCTTATGGCAATGAACAGGAAGGTGAGGGATGATATAAAACCCCGTAATCAGGTTTAAGAGGGAGCCCGGCCTTGAATTCAAAACCTTGTAAAACGATACGAGGAAAAATAAACGATAACGGCGAAACCTTGNNGTAAAACGATAAGAGTAAAAACAAAGAATAGCAGGATTAAGGGTCATTAAAATGGGTGGGGGGTTTTCATCACCCCTCAGGTGGTAAATTGCTCTTGTAGTTAGAGGAAAGAGGTAGGTGAGAACTACCATGTTTGGGGACTGGTGGCTTCTGGCTTTCTTATCAGCACAGCATCTGAAATTCGAGGACGATCCTTCATAATCAAGAGCGTTAAGCTTTATAGTGCCGCTCTTAAGTGTTGCTTCAAGAGATGGCTTTGCCCTACAACTGCAATGCAGTTGCGCATGGAACAGCAGGGGCCCAGCTGCTGGCGTCAAGATGCTCACCAATTGCTCCGCTTTATACCATTCTGCTGCGGTGTTTACTGCGCACTCGTCGTCGGCCACGGCGCAGCTATCAACTTCTGACATGCCCCGCCTACTGTACAAGCTCATTCCAGCATCACCTGGCAAATCACGGCACGGGCCTGAATTCCAAGCCTTTGCCACCGCCACACTGTTGGTGAGCGGTGAGCATGTAGCCTTCAAAAGGACTGTCACCTTGGCCTTCCATGCTCGCATGGGCCACCAGGAAGGAGCTGCATGTCAATGCGACTGGGAGTCTGGGGCGGGAGTCAGCTCTCGCCAACTGTGGTCCATTGTGACATGCAGGCGAGATTCATGCTCACCCGCGAGAATCAAGAGATATCAAGAGGGTGGGGCCAAGGAATGGCGGAGCAAAGCTGACCAAGAAAAGACTGCATGCCAAACCTTATCGCGAAAGCTTGCGGTAGTTCTCTTTCAGGTGTTTCATCAATTGTTAAGGTCTGCGGGAGCCCCCTCCCACGCCCCCTCTAAGGTTTATTCAATCAATAGCAAGCCTCCCAAAAAACGAGAAGTACCGAAAATATCGAGCCCCGCCCATGGCCTTCCTACTCCCCAGGCTTGCATTTGCATTCTCTGCCTTCCAGTGCTGCCGACATTTTTCGTTGCGCTCTTTTTCAAGTTTAGTTTGCATTCTGCCTCTGTTGCATCTCTTTGGGACTCAGCAGCTGCTTGGTTGTGTTCCTTGCAGGTGAACCTGTTGGCTACGGCCTACTTTCGTATCATACATCCTTTGATCGCTCTCTGGTCTACTTACTTGAGGCAAGTTTATCCGTGGCTACTTTCTGCTCTCGTCCCCTTCTTCTGGTTGAGTTTCTTCGCTGGGGCATGAAGAGCAGGGTCCCCTGAGCTCTAGTCTTGAAGTATCGCTCATCAGAAGATCGCATGGCTCAACCATGCTGAACTCAGCGCTGCTCCTCCAAGGCTGGATGAGTTTAGCCAGACGTACAGCGAATTCCTCCGTGACGCGAGCTTGAAGGCATGGAAGTCAAATTCTGCCCGGGCAGCTTCAGATGCATGCAGGCTCAGCTCGACAACTTGAGAGCTACGCACAGTGCTACCTTGTCACTCATGGAGGGTGTGAAGGTGGGCTTAGAAGAAGTTCAACTTTGAAAGGCTGCTTAGAAATCAAGCAGAGCGTGAATTTGCAGGCCAGCGCGGCTTCACCGGCTCCAGCTCAAGCTGAGGTGCCTCCGAGATAGCGAAGAGCGTGGCTTGATGTGGCTTGCCACAGGCAACGTATCCGTCAAAGCAGCCTGCAGTGCCTGCAGCGCCTGCAGACTTACCAGCGGTGGCACCTGCAGCCACGGCAGCCACATCTGAGACCTCTCAGACTCAGACATCTGAGTCACAGTCGCAGGTACCAATCATTTGAGCGTGCGTCGTGTCACCATGTACAAAAATCACGAGGAAGATGAATTATGAGCAGTCGGGTTGACACTATTCAAATTATGACAAAGGGTACTGACCTGCCACGTTCATCTTCCTTGCAGGCTCTGCAGGCTCGAGGGTTGGCAGCAACAGAAAGCAGCTGACTCCTTGAGAAAGAAAAACCTCGCAGAGTAGTTGAGCAAAAAAAGAACCCGGCTCAAAAGCATGAAGGGACAGCACGCACGTTCATACCACTCCTTGTACTGTAGCAGGCAGTTTGTGATAGTAGGCTGCATGACTACCGAATAGCAGCTTTTGTGTGGAGATGCGTGTGCTGCGCAGCTTGTGGACGGCGAGTCCCTGCGAGCCTTCTCACATCGCCAGCCCTGCCACAAGCTCTCTGAGCAGGTTCCGAGCGAAACGAAGTTTGAGCAAGCTTGTGGTCTGTTAATCCAGCCAGCTGGTAGGCTGCGCGGCATTACTACCGGCAGGCCGTCTGCGCGAGGAAGCGGGCTGCGCTGTCTGAGATTTTTTGCATCGAAGGTCGTGGAGGGCGTGTCTGTGTGCCATGACCGGCTTGTGGCACATCGAGATTTAAAGCCTGGTATCCTGTACGACCAGTTGCAGTGGGCGTGCTGCAAAGTGTTTGGCCATGCAGGCTCGAGAACGTGCTCCTGGATAAAGGCACGTTGCATTGGTTAGACAGGAAGTCTTGGCAGGGCACATGTGTTCACCAGGCCGAGAAGGAGTAAAGATCATCGACTTTGGTTTCGCTGCGCATGTGCCGGACTGACATGAACTAGCTCAGATTTTGCTGCGGAACCAGCGACGGAACCAGCGAGGTGCCGAGCAAAGAAACGAAGCTCAAAGCTTTCTGTGGGACGCCATCGTGCCCCATGGCTGGATGGGGTGAACACTGCCACGACCTTGCATTAACCTTGCACGGCACAGTACCTGCGGTGTTTCTGTTGCTCCGGGGTGGATTTTGCAAGCATCATGTTGCCTCAACGTCATGATGGGCGGCAGAGCATGAACCACATTCACAGTTGCTTATCTGCACCAGGACAAAGAGACTCCGCTGCCACAGTTGCCCAAACGCATCACAACATGCCCACCACATTCATGCAGTAGCAGCTGACATAGTCAATGCAAATAGCTGCACATGGCCGAGATCGATGCTGTTTTGTCCCTTGTCATGAGACGGCTCCAGTTGCGCGCAACCTGCCAAAGTTCAGCACGTGCGGGCTGAAAGGTTCGATTTGGATGATACTCTCTACTCCGTCAGCACGGGCTTCTCTGACCATCGAAATGGTGAGGCCTCTTGCAGAAAGAGCTTCGCAGCTGCTGGAGAATCAACTGAAGCTGGAAGTCTATGCTGCTTTCTTACAGCCCACACAACTGTGTGCGAGCTTGTGGTGCCCAGGTCATCTGCAAGTTCATGATGGACTATCTGGGCTTTGAATCTATGCAGTCTGCGAAAGTTCTCCGAGACGAATATTTTCAGCTGCGCGGCGCCAGACGTGGTTGAACTCTTTTTCTGGGAAAAGTGCGCGATGGGTGGGCGATAGGATGCCTAGGCGATATCACTCCACCATGAAAGGTCTCAACATTGCGATGAAGGACACCATGCCTTCTGATTCTCAAAGCTGCTTGCTTCTTCTGCCAGGAAGGGCGACTGCCCAAGCCTTTTCAGCAGGAGCTGAGCTGTCGCAAGTTTGCTCGTCATGTTGTGCCTTGGAGGAGGATTTGGGCGAGTTTTGGGCGCAGCATTGCGAGTTCTCCAGGACCGCCAAATCATATACACTACCACTTGACAGTGGGATATGATGTTGAGCTCGACGGGTGTTCGGGCTTTCAGATTCGTGGGTTGAAAGCTTACACGGGAAGTGTGCTGCCCTTGTTGCGGAGGTTTATCCGTCCAGACATGGGCACAGTTGAGATGGTCCGAAGCTTGTCTCAGGCTCGGCAATTGTGCACATGATCTCATCGCTGTGCATGATAGCCTGGCAGGTGGGTCTCAAGCTGGCCATTTTCACAAACTCACCGCGCAAGTGCTCCTCAGCTTGGATTGTGCGTTGGAAATGTCTGCCCAAGCATGAGATGTGGGTTTATTCTTTGCCTTGCTTGAAGCTTCAGCGCGCAGAGCTGACAGTCCTGGGCCTGCCCCCGCACAATTGCAGGTATGCTCTTCGCTGCTTAGATGAGCTGGGCCTTCGCGATCTTTTCCCAGACAACTGCGTCTTTGCTGTGGAGGCAAGTGGGTAGATGGCAGTCGCATCCTTGGGAGATGGCATCCCAATTTGATTGCAGGACGTGCTTCCTGCATGCAAGCCTCAGCCAGAAGCAGCACGCCGCCAATGTGCAGACACTTTGTTGAGTTCGTGGTGCGGCTGCTGGTACTGGTTTGCAATTCTCCGGTGGAAGTCCTCCGCATCCCTGACCTCATTGCATTTGCAAGACTCTGCGGCTCTGCGGTATGACGGCGCGTGTGAATCCAAGCTGTGACCTCACCAAATGTGTTCCAATTGGCAAAGAAGTGTAAGTGTGTGTATATTCGTGGCGATCGTTTTTTTTCGTGAAGCAGCGACGTCGCCCACCCGTCAAGTCAGGCTTTGGCTGCAAATTGAATAGATTGACATGCACTTCAATCGCCTCAGCCAATTCGAGATGTGGCATAGCCAATAATGAGAACAGGTTCCAGTTTCCAAGAAAGGCAAACCAACAACAAGCAAGCGATCAGGAACGTTCAAGGTACAGTAATTTGTTGACTAAAGGCTGATGCGGAGCGGATGGCAGGTTCCGCATGTGAGGCTGGTCACCGCCTGTTTTTGCAACAGCGAGCCTGCATTGGTTCTTGATGGATTTCATGCTACCGCACTCGAAGAATATGACCAGGGGAATTATGTACACCTGGAAGCTAAGGCGTTCAAAACAGTCCTGGACAGCATTGGTGCCAGCCCGAACAAGACAGTGATGTTTGAGGACAGATTGCTCAAACATGGAGCTTGTGGCTGAGAAGAACCATGCAACAATTGCTTGGAGGACTCCATGAAGAACATTCGGGCATGCAAGGCCAATTGTCTTCAGCCGTGTAAAGATCAAAAAGAAGCGTGATGTTGAATGAGTCAGGTAATGAGGTTATTGACAGGGATTATTTGCATCCCATGCTACTAGTACATCTGGTGTCTTCACGAAACATCTGCAGTTCATTGACATAAGTACACCGGCAGGCTGAAGAGCGGACGCAAACCGTTTAAATCCAGCATGGACACTCTGAAGATCACTTGTGCAACAATGACAATCTATGGATTCCAGAAGAACATGGGCAAATCAAGGTCATGGCGATATGACAGTGCTTGCATTTTTGGGGAACTGTCAGCTTTCAACTTCGAATCATGGCATCCTTGTAAGGACAGGGTGTGGAGAAACTCTCAAGATTCACATTGATCTCTACCCCTCTCTCTCTCTCTCTCTGCCCTCTCCCTTGCTCTTGCACCCACAGACCAGGGTATCCAGGTACACATACGTAAGATGAGGTTTCATCCTGATTCTGTGACAACAGAGTAGGCCGGGCTGCAAACTTTCGTTCTGCATCACTTGACATCATCGTTTGGCCCTGGTTGAAGGGATTCTGGTTGACCTGGTCTCCTGTATTGGTCGAGCCTTTCCCTAAACTGGAGAGATGTGCGTTTCTAGATTGGTTTCGCATGAAGCTGAGTTTGCATGTGCGTTCCTTGACGCGCTGCTGGAGCCATCTGTGATTGCTATTGCAATATTTGCAATTGCAAACTCATGTGATTCGACAGTCGCTCTGCGATGCCCAAATTCCGGCAGGAACTGGGCATCCATACTGTGCTTGTAGATGAAACCAAGGCTCGGAGTTGACTTTCTGCGAACGGCCCTGGCTTTAGACATTCATTAGACATTCAGGCCCGCAGTACCGCGGGTCCGACCGCAGGCGATGGACCGTGAGAAGTGATGTTTATGGCATGTGGCAGTGGGGCTCTGTGTGATGGATAGGTGAGGCAGCTCTCCTGCATGATCTGCCGCAGCATGACGATCCTTCAGTTGATGTGGTGATCAAGGCGCATTCCGCAATGCAAACTGTCAACAAATCCAAGAAGCGTCAGCTGGAGCAGTCAACATAAGCCAAACGCATCCCCCACCCCTTGGCCCCAGTCGCAAGAATTTATCCTTCTACCAAGAAGGATGCCTTTTGAGTTGGAATCTTCAGACACTGGCCAGGTGACCAAGACACACGGGATACTGGCCACTGGCCATCATGCAATATGTGTCGTGTCGCGTTGCAACCTCCCAGCGCCCTCAAGCTAACTGAGCCCGCCATGCCCGGGGAAAGATTGACTACTGGATCGTGATCTTTCGGCGAGAAGATCACAAACAGGTTGAAATCTCATCCACAACATCTGCTACAAGCGGACCAGGAGGGAAGGGCAACGTCCACAAGCCCGCTGGCTCGTAGATCCTAATGACGTGAACTGACGCGAACTGGCCACACCTCCTCGGGAGGTAATGAAGGAAGGGGGCCCGACCGTGTGGTCAAAATAATATGTTTCCAGTTTGACTTGCGCTTTTAGGAGGGATTTGGCCTTTTTGCAGTATTTATCAGGAGCAGTCTGTATCAGGAGTCGCCTTCTACTAAAAACGTGAAGAACTTGCTATATCTATTAAAAGAACACCATAATTAACGCATGCCTGTTTGGCCATAGGCCCTCTCCCCCAGCCGAGGGATTCAGCCACACGAGTTCGGAACCCTACCCATCCCTACTTAAAGTGGTGCCTTGGACTCTGACATTCCTAGTAATCTTTTACCACTTAACAGCTGCGATTTCGTGGATAACACCTTGCCGGAGCTCGGCCACAACACGGTTCCTGCAGGCAGCAGGCAGATCAGTGAAACCATTGGCACAAACTTGCCTGACCAACATTTTCGCAACAAGACCTTGCAGCTAGGGTGAGATCCTCGGAAAGGAGGCCGAACCGACTACTATACTACAGCACATTTCGGCCAAGCGTCGGAGAGCAGAAGCAGAGGAAGACCAGGATAAGATTTCTGGAACAGAAGCAGTAGAGGGCGTTATCTTGCAACTGGTGAAGAGATCAGGGACCTGGCAAGCGGGCTCGAGGGATTGAACAAGAGAACCGAGAAAGAATAAGCTGTCTGCGAAGTGGCGAGTTACTCTGCGAACCCGAGTGGGCAAGGTAAAGTGACGGTTCGAGGACGTGAGAGGACTTGGCACAGCAGCCGTCAAGGAAGAACCACGTAAAACGGATGGATCTGGAAGCTGCGTGAGGAAACAGTTGGGCGGCAGCAAACGGCGAAGAAGCCAAAGTCAGATGAAGCAAAGGAGACAATGAAACCAAACACTCCAGCAACCGATGAAACCGACTTCGTCATCGAGCTCCAAAAGCGCCAAGCGCCAGAGGTGACTGGGAAGGCAGCGGCCATCCAGCACGCGAGAGGAACATCCAGGTTCGGGCAAGAGGGACACGAAGAACACGGAGAAAGTGTCATTTTCTGAGTTGGTCGAAGGACGGCAAATCTAGGCAAAAACAGCACAACAACGGAAGATTATGCCGGAGACCTGAGAGAGTTACAGGAGAGTCTCAGGAGTATACGCATTCCCTCCGAGAATGGAAAGAGAGCTCGGCCATGTTACAGGGGGCCCGAGGTACACGACGCCCTCGCCAGGAGGCGCACGTGTTAGAGTGGAAGACGGCGAGGGCGACGTGGTAATGCGAGCCGAAAAGCAGAAGCAAGAGAGCGAGCACGCGCAGACCAGAGACAGATTGCAAAACATGTAGATGGACAGCTGGCAACTTCATGATGGGGGACGACAGATGTGTCAACAACATCAAATTTGGCCGAGTTCCCCGCAATGGACTCCTCAGTGTCAGGTATCAGTGCTCGGAATGACAACAGAATAGCCTCAAGGTAAGCGACATCGAAAGAGACCTGGAGGAGGCCATACCACCACCATAGACAAGAAGCAGGATCAGCTGATTGAAGAGGTTGCTTGCAAGACCCGAGAACTGACAATGACTGCACAGGCACTAGTTTACCAAGCCGGCGTTGCCACAAAGCAGCTCACTTCCCAGAGAGACATCCAAAGCTGAAAAGGTTGCTCTAAAGAAATGCAGAACAATACAGTCCCAGGACAAGCTTCAGAAGCAGGCAGATAAACTTCTTTGTCCGACTGCGCGTGTCAGTGGCACCTGGGACCTCGCTGGTTGGGCCACGGGACGTGGACGTTTGACGGTTTGGCGCGTTGCGTTGCTACGACCTGAGCCTTAAGAAGAAGAGGCCTCACTGCTGAAGTCGAGAAGCCGGGCCTGTTGCTGCTCAGGGTCTTGCCCTTGGCCCGGGGAAGCAGGACGGCGTCATCCCGCTAATGTCTGCGTGTTGAAAGAGGGTCTTCAGGGAGCAGGTGCCGTCGACATTGCCGTCACCTCAGGGTTCGGCTGCTCTCCCCGGAGCCCTCATGCGACCGGACAAGCCGTGCACACCCACCGCCCCCTGATGCGTATGAAGCTGCACCGCCTGCGCACCTCTGATCTTGATAGAAAAAGTGTGTGCAGAGAGAGACAGGGCTTGACCAGCTCTGGGCTGTGCTCCGGTGCCCCTCACGTGAGGGGGTGCATAGCTGTGAGAATAAGAAGAAGATAGGGCTCGGGCTGCAAGAAGAGCAAGAAGATCAAAGAAGCATTGCGTTTGGCAGTCTCACAGGTAGCTGGGGTAGGGAAGACAATGATGCGCGTGCTAATACCGTCTGATGGGAGGGAGCCCCGAACTGGATCTTTCAATCAGCTGGTGTGACTTTTGTCAGTGTCCTGGAGTGCAGTCCCGCCACCACTTTCGGGAGGCATACAAACCATGGAAGTAGGACAAGCAAAGAACAAGACGACAGCTGCAAGTGCTCAAGTTCGGGAGCCGTCCAATCCGTCTTCCGCCAATGAGAGCGCATGCTCAGATTGAACCCCGCGAGAGACAACCCACGCATTGTCCAACAAGATAGGCAAAAAACATGTATTGTTTCAGACGGAGCCATAGGGCAAACGCGTGCTGCGCGAAGAACGTTAGACTGCACGGGAAGCGCTGGTCGACAACAAGTTCAGATTGCACATCATCCACCGAATCATGTCGCTGATGCCACTTAAAAAGGCATTCCAGGGACGGGTTTTGGCCTTGCAGCGCAGGAGCCCTGAAGCTGGGGAGGGTAGAGCTGCAGAGACCGAAGCTGCCTTGCAAATCTGGTGCAGCGGGGGGAAGGTGCTTGGACGTTCCTAGCAGCCATGTCAAACTGTTGGGAAGGCAAGTCGGCACATTCCCAAAAACGCGGAACATGATTTGCTTAGGATGGCTAGCCGAAACTACCTTGCAGAGGGCACTGGCTCCATCAAGATCTCAAAGCCAGGTTTCTATTTAGTTTAGCAAGGGGAGAAGAATGTGAAACAAGAGGACAGAGAATTTGCCGGAACTTGAGCAGACTGGTTGAACAGCAAGCTGCAAGCTAGATTTGCCTGCGTGGACAATGACAAGCAGAGCGATCAGCCAGCGATTGAGATGCGGGCCTTCAAACGTCGCTGGTGAGAAAGCGCACTTTTGCAGGTGCCGGCTAAGGCGCAAATATGTTTTCCACGAATCGGCTGACCCCCTGTGACTTAGGAGGAGAGACGATGCGTGTTGCTTGAGTCGGCCGCGGGCATCCTGGTGAACCACAGAAACAAAACATCTTCAGCGTTGAAGAAAGTAATGAGGTAACTGCGTCCTATCACACTCTTGTCGGGCTGTTTGTGTTGCTCGTGGACAGTTCCCTTCAACACGACGAAACTTCTTCACACAGCGTGGAAGTTGAGGAGCAGAGAACTGAGGGCGCGTTACGTGTAACCCAATCAATACAAACACGCAGCGCGAAGCGATCTCCCAGATGCTTGCACTAACACTTGAATTTGAAACGAAAGGAGCGTAAGCAACACATGTTCACACAGTAGCAGCAGCGTGCATCATGAAAGACATCTAAATCTAAATGTTACTGGTCTTCGAGATGTCGCAGCTGCGCGGGCAAAGCATCTAAAACTGCAGGCGCCGTGTCACAATCAGATGCCAGTGCCTTGCAGAGGACCTTCTGGAGATCCGAAAGGCAATGCCTAGCTTGTGGAATCGGCGATTCGAGGTTCCTGCTGAGAGTGGAAGTCGACAGGCCAAGTACCTGGCAGACAGTGAAAGTATCAGCGGTTGATATGCTGTCAAGCACCGCAGCCATGCATATGGGGATGAAATTCTCAAGCTCTGGGTAGAATCTTGCTAAAACAGCTGAAGTTGTGACATGTTCTGGCACAGTACTGCATCAGCTTGCTGGTATGATATGGTACCACGAGGCGCTGCAAGCCCTCTGGCCCTGAAAGGCACAAGAAAAGTTCTTTTTCAGCTCCGGAGCGCTGTCAAACGGCAGCATCTGGAGCCTGCCGCGATGAGAAAAGCTTCTGAAGAGCGCTTCATCTGCAGCTCTGCAGCTCTGCAGCTTGCGGAGGCTTCCGCATCGAAGCTTTCCGACGTGTGACTCAAAAGGTACATGGCTCCCGAGATCATCCGCGGCGAGGGCTATTCAGGTCCGAGCGTAATGTACCAGCTTGTGTGTTTTGATTGTTGCCTCGCGAATTCGGACTAGCGTCGTGTCAAATTTTAGAGAGCAGGTCAAGTCTCAAGAACGGCGCTGGCCAACTCTTCTTCCAAACAACGTTGAAAGAGCAACATGTGCGGAACAGCATCCATCATCCACTTGCTCCTCCTGCCTGAAGTCGTAAAGCCCTGCATTCATCCCACAACTTTGGTGCTGCAGGCTTCGCAGCTGATGTCTGGGCTTTGGGAGTGGCCCGGGGCCTGCAATACAGTTGACTCAAGTGAACGCTGGCCATGTTGCATAGCAAAGGTGCTTTTTGCATTACTCTCCGGCACTTTGCCTTTCTCTGCGAAAACAGAGCGGGCTCCCCGGTTCATCCCGGTTCCAAGTGACATCACAAAGGGCCTCACCAGAGTCCCCCTGTTTCAGGATGCAGCTATACGCCCGGATTCGACGCGGCACATTTTCCTTTCCGGATTGCTTGGGCAAGGGACCTGGATATGGATGGGATGGGGCACAAGTGCCGAGTTCGTGCCTCGTGTATTGTGCATTTGTGCTTTCCTTTAACGCGCCAGCTTGCGGCAGTCTTAGCATTCCTGCTGAGTCTAGCAGCCCGCCATGAAAGCAAAGGCTGGCTTGAATTGTAAAAGTACGGAGAAAGCTGCCAGAGAAAGCAGCAGGGAAGGTTAGCAGCAACAACTGGACGCAGCAAGCCTTGCTCCAAGTGAATCTCATGCATCTCAACACAAAAGAGATAATGAGCCCTAATGCTGCCCAGTAACCCCTAATGAGGCCGTAATTTGTTGGGCCATACAGTACGTGGCAGCTCCATGAATATGCAGTCTCATCACCCAGGGAGCCGCCTATCAGCAGCAACTACAGTGCTACGCATTTTGACGACCCTCTTGCCGGGCAACTGTCCTGTTCTGCTGTCTTGGCAATAATTCCAATGCCAATGCAGCGGGCTATGTGACAAGCAAGGAAGAAGGAAGCGTTTCTTTGTAAACCAGGATAACAAACATGCCGCTCTGAATTTGGAAAATCAGTCTGTGGCAGTTCGTGGGCCATGAATCATGAGAAAAACACGAGAGCGAGGGCAGGCCGTCAATTGTCTGTAGTAGCTCTGTAGCTTTAGCAGAAGCGGGGGGCAGACAAAGCCTGGACAGTAGCAAGCCATTGACTCTTTCACAGGATGTGGGGGGGTGGTGGACATTGATTTTTCCAACAGGAATCTGAATTTTTGGAGGGGGACGGGGCGGGGTCGAAGATGATTACTTGACAGGAAGCTTAGGGTGGGTTGCGCAAAAGTGATGTATGAATCTGCATGGTGGGAGGGGATCTGCATAATGATCTACGCATGGGTTGGTTGGTCTACCTGCACCTTCTCCGCTCCTAATTCTTCTTCGCGCTCTTGATTAGTAGCGGGGTTCCCCCCGCCATGAATACTAGCTGAGCCCCATTATTTTAGGGATCCCAGATCTCAGAAGAAAAAGCAAGTCATGCTAAGGATTACGGTATTGATTTTACGTGGTTTTGAATTGACTCAACAGAATTGAGATGGGCGGATTTCATTCAATTAGAGTTCAACTCATTTGAATTTTGGATTGGTTATAGTTTTGGGCTTAAACTAGAGTTGAATTGGTTTTGTTGATAGTGAGCTGATATTAATCAGATGCTTGACATGTTAATAGATTTATCATCAGAGCCTATTTGTTCTCATTAGATTTCTGATAACATTTAAATAGATGTCAATTCACGTTTGAATGTTTTAATTAGGTTTCAATAGATTTAGCTTACACTTGCTTTTACATAGATTGCAATGATTGAAAGGATGAGCAACGAGCGACCCTGAAAAAAAATGCTATTCTAGGGGGGTTGCCGATTGATCTAGAGGACCTAGAGAAGGATCCTTTCACACAAGGTTTGCAAGGGGTAGCTCAGGAAGCAATGCTTGAGCCTGTTGTTCCTAATTGGTTTTGAGCAGCCTTCTAAGCAAGCCAGGCTTCCCAATCAGCTTTCCTTTTCTGACTTTAAAGGGCAGCAAAGTATTCAGTTTTTTGTCCGAAGAAATGTGCAACTACTGTAACGACCTTGAAAACGTTTGCTATTATTCTAGGGGTTTGTCCATAAATCCAAAGAAAGCAGGAAGCAATGTTTGAGCCTTCAATTCCTAATGAGTTTTAAATAAGCAATTCATGTCTCAGAATCAGCATCCTTGCTTATTCAGAATTTGAGGCATCACAATTTAGGATTGAGGTTTTTAGAGCCTTAGGATTTGAAACCAAATCTCCAACCTAAAGCTTAGTATTTTTCAGGGTCTGGCAATAAGTTGCTTTAAATCTGGGGGCTTTTAGGGGCCGGAAGCAGCCTCTCTAACCGTAAAAGCGGAGAATTGGAAGGGTAAAGTAAACAGTCTAAGCGCAAAAGCGGAGACTTTGAAGGGTAAGGGGCAAACAGTCTAATCGTAAAAGCGGAGAACTTGAAGGGCAAGGGGCAAGCAGTCTAACCGCAAAAACAGAATTTTTTGCAGAGCAAGAGGGAAAGACTTCAACCGTGAAAGCGGAGAGTTTAAAGGGTACAGGGGGCAAACAGTCTAACCGTAGAAGCGGAGAATTTTGAAGAGCAAGAGGGAAAGAGTCTAGCCGTGAAAGCGGAGAATTTGAAGGGTAAGGGGCAAACAGTCTAACTGCAAAAGCGATAATTTTGAAGAGCAAGAGGGAAGAGTCTAACCGTGAAAGCGGAGAATTTGAAGGGTAAGGGGCAAACCGTCTAACTGTAAAAGCGGAGAATTTGAAGGGTAAAGGGAAAACTGTCTAACCGTGAAAGCAGAGACTTCGAAGGGCTTTGATAGCCTGGGTTCGTAGGGTTGTGTCTGTTGAGACAACAGAATTCCACGTCAACATCTGTTGGTTGCACAATATCACTTCAATGCCTTACTGAACAACGTCACCTCTCACCAGACATAACCCTAAGAATCCAGACTACTACAACATTGTTTTTACAAAAACATTTTTGGGTAGCTTGGATTGTTAAGTTAGGGTTTGATTTCGTTGAGACAGAAAGAGCCCAAA